GACCCTGTTTCTCTCCATCTCTCATTTATGCTTCATCTGGATTAAATTCCACATGGTCAGTAGCATTGCCACAGCTCTCCTAGCCTCATAGACTCACTACTCTCTGCCTCTTTTCCAGGTGATCCTGTAAAACTTGTGGGATTAACTCTGGTTGAACTGATTTAGATCATACCCACTTCTTCATCTTGACTTTGATGTAGGGAAATGCTATGCACTGGTTGGTTTAGTTCTGGGTAATTGTCTTCTCCCCTGGGGCTGAGATGGAGATCTGAAACATCCAGTGGACTGAAAGAGAGCAAGGATACGTTCTCAGATGAAAATGAAAGGCATAAGACAGAATAATGGAAGTGAGAAAGATCAATGACTACCAAATATCTCAAAATTTATCTTATTTTAAAACATGATTTTTCTGTTTTCCAAAATAGTTAATTGAGAAAAATATTTTGTAAAAGGCCTAATTAGGTCAATAAAAGGTACTTTCTCAGTATGTGATCATTTTCAAATTTCCATTTTGACCTGTGTGAAACTAATATATTGAACATTCTTCACATACAGGCTTTTCTAAAAATGTATATTGAGATAGAGTGTACTAAATAGAATATATCCTGTCTCCTCCCCATCTCAGTCCTAGGAATCTTAGCAGTCCTTTCACAAATGTTGTTCTGTGAGCTGGTGTGTCTTTGGTATGAACCCACTGCAGGTGGAACGAGCTCTTTTCAGACCTGTGTACATTACTTGTCTTAGTCAAAGGACAAAATCCCATGCACTAAGTAGCTTATAAACAACAAACATGTATTACTCACAGTTCTGGAGGCTGGGAAGTTCAAGATCAAGGTGTCAACAAGTTTGGAGTTGGATATGGGACCATTTCCTTGTCGATAGATTGCACCCTTACACTGTGTCCTCACGTGGTGGGAAGGACAAATGAACTCCCTTGGGTTGATTTTATAAGAGCATTAATCCCATTTGTGAAGACTGCCATAATGACCTAATTGCCCTCCAGAAGGCCTTACCTCCTAATACCATTGCCCTGGGGATTAGCATTTCATCATATGAATTTTGAGGGGATACAAACATGCAGATGATAGCATTCTCTCTGGGAAATACCTAAGTCAGGGTCAGATCTTGGCACGTTAGTTAGAATAAAACCCTTACCCAATGGTGCTGACTACAAGGTTTGGTCAGGAGCCTCTGTGCTCTCATGCTCTACTTATTGGCTTCAAAGTGAGGGATTCTCATGGTTAGGTCAGTTTGGCGATTCTCCAATCCTTTTTCTCTGGAATATTTTTGTACCATATTGTTTCTGTAATAAATTATCATTATCATTGTTTGAGGCATGGTCTCTGTCAACTAGGCTAGAGTGTATTGGTGCAAGCATGACTCATCACAGCCTTGAACTCCTGGACTCTAGTGATCCTCTGGCCTCAGCCTCCCAAGTAGCTGAGACTACAGATGCACACCACCATGCTTGGCTAATTATATATATATATATATATATATATATATATGAACAACAGAGTCTTGCCATGTTATTCAGGATGGTCTTGAACACCTGAGCTCAAGCAGTCCACCCCGCTCAGCCTCCCAAAATTTGGGGATTACAGATGTGAGCCACCTTGCCCAGCCAACGAATTCTTTCTTCATGTTTGTTGAGAGATACTTGTGTTTTGTTCATAGAAGAACTTACATGGCATATGAAATCTTTCCATATTTTTTCTGAGCGTAGCACCTTACTTGCCTCTCATCATTCCAGTACTTGGGTTAAGCAATTATTTAACCTTTATTAACTCTAGCCTTTCATTCCACCCGCAGTGGGTTCACACCAAAGACAAACCAGCTGATAGAACACCATTTGTGAAAGGATTGCTGAGATTCCTAGGACTGAGATGGGGAGGAGACAGGATATATTCTTTTTAGCACACTCTATCTTGATATAAAGTTTTAGAAAAGCATGTATGTGAAGAATGTCCAGGGATACATTTAAGACACCAAATAATTTCAGTTACTACACAGGCACCAATATGGGATGCAGATAATAAAACTTGTTAGGCTTAATCGGAAGTAAGTATTCCTACAATCATTTAATCTCATTCTTTTTTGAATAAATGAGCCTTAAACATGAACTTTAATCTTCCAATGTCCTCAAGATTTTGACACAACTAGATCTCTTTCCTGCTGTACAGATGGTCCCAGGTTGTTAACTTTATATTTAGTTTATGATGTTTTCTATTTTTTTTTTCTGATAACTCTCACTTCTTAAAACAATCAGTGTACCTAATTTCAAGAGATTTCTGGACTTCCCTCTTGTTTTATATTTCTAAGACAAGGAAACCTTGAATGATTCACATGCAATTCCAGTGCATATATTTAATCCACTGACTTTGGAGCATTTAGTTTGGCTTGCTGGATGTCTTCCCCCATCCCCTTATTTTCTAGTTATTTTCTACATTCTGAGTATAAAAATTGGTGGAGGGAGATTTGGCCCTTGCATTTTGAAAAACACAAATGTCTACTTTTAGTTTTTAAGGGCCTCAAGAAAAGCTGTCTAATCTTGGAGGCTTTATGTTTTATGAATGAACAAGTGGTTTCTTTCAGCTATTCTGTTAAGAACAATTTTTTCAAATGATTGAAGAAATTTGCTGAGTGAATGCATGTGCATTTTGCTGTTGTCAGAAAGATGTGAAATACAGCAGCAGTGGTTGGGCCTGGTCTCAGCTGAACTGTAATGTGGATGAGGTTTGCCTTCAGGGCCCTCACACATTCCTTTCTATTACCCAATTCCTGTTTCCTGGGTCTCATCCTCCACCTGTCCTTGCTTCCAGTTACTTAGATTCTCAGGCCACTTTGTAGTCTGGGCTCATTTTTGTTCGCTCTGCCTGCAAAGGCCTAGCCCCAGGCGGTGCATAATGCCCTGATTTGGCCCTTCCAGCCAGTTTTCTAAGCTAAACAAAGTAGATTCGTAATCTACCTGGATCCCAGCTAGCTGCCACTACTGGAAATGAGTGCCACTACTGGAACTAAGCCTCATTAAAGTGTTAATGCATTGAAATGGTTCAATGAACTATTTTTTTTCCCTGAGATTACAGGCAGTATGATTAGAAACACTTAAGGTCCATTTACATTTAAGTCAAGGAAATTATCATTCTAAGGTGGAATTTCAGGCAAGTCCATGGTCCAATAGGCCTAGCAAGGGGGCAGCTTTCTGTATTTCCCCTGAGACAGACTAATCTCCTTCTTCATAGACTTTCTTCCTGTCTGGCTCTGTCAGTAAGGTGTTCGGGGTATGGATATCTCCCTTATCACCAAGGTGGCTGGGTACTGCTTTCCAGCTGTGTTCCTTCTGGGTTCATATGTAGGGGTTGGTTCTGTTTATGGCCATTGCCACCAACTCCGGGACTGATTTCCAGCCCTGCTCCAGATTTGGCTCTCTTATCTCTTCCCCACTTGAGCATTCTGAAGCTACATTCTCTGTACTTCCTTGTGATAGAACCCTATTGTCTTCCATTTGGACTAGCACCAGAGTTAGCATATGTAGAATATGGACTTACTTTGTGACTCTTAACTCCTCCTTGGGGCTGCTGATTCTTCTTCCACATTTCCTATATTTGCTACTTACCCCCTTTTCTCTAGCTCTGGCTTTCTGTCTCCCAGTGGCCAGCAATGCTCACTTGATCTGTAGATATTGTGGAAAACCACAGAGTTATAATATAGACAGTGTATGTGGAGGACATAAAGCATTTTGTAGTAAAGAAAAATTCATGGTTTGAAACTTGGTTGCCTCCCAGAGATACTCATTCCGTTTTATCAAGGATGTATACCCTTTACTCCACTTCACTCAGAGTCTTCATTTTTCCAAGATAAACTATCCATTTCTCCTTGGATTGAATTTTCAGATTCTTCATTATACTATTTATTCTCTTACAGGAAATGCACTTTGCTAATGTCTCCCTGAAAATTTGGTGTCCAAAGAGAAACAAAATATAGGCAGCATGAGAGTTCACGTAAGTGTTTTACCAACTGGCCTGCATTTCTCCATCTTGTATTCAAAGATATGATGGCAAACTTAAAAAAAAAAAAGCCTTACTGAAATCCAGATTGACATTGTCAAAAAGGAGCTATTTGACTTAAACATGCATACAAACACACGAGTAAAAATAGACATTTATGCATTACAACTTAAAGATGCAAAATAAAAAGGTAGTATCATTTACTTCTTATACGTGCTCTCATTTTGTCCTCAACCCCATATTCCATTCAGTAGCAAGAAAAAAAATCAATCTAAAACTTGCCAGTTCTTGGTATCTGGATAACTTGGTGTTTTTGGTTTTTAAATAGACTCTGCTAGGTTAGCTCAAGTGTCTTTCAGATAAATTTTCATTTAAATTCAGGATTCAAACTTCTTACCAGAAAAAAAAAATATATATATATATATATATATATTTTTTTTTTTGCCCCCCCACTTTCTGCTCCCTAAGACGCCATATGGGTATCTGTGAGGGCAGCCTCAAGGAGGCCAGTGTATGGTAACGAATTATTGTCTGGGTCTTTGTGCTGTCTTTGGAGACTTCTCTGGTCACTGTGGAGATGTTTTTTTATCTGTCTGGATCATGGAGCTGCTGGTGTCCGCTATAGAAAAACTGTGGCTAGTAACACTGTATGTCAGGGACGAGGGTAAAACATCTATCTGTTCTAGATCATGACCTCTTCTCTCATCCTGGTGAAGTCCAGGTAAAAAGTGAGGGACACAGAAAAGATGACAATGGGATGATGACTGTGTTGGGCTGAAAATAAGCAGTGCATTTCAGGCTGCTGACTTGTACAATGGACTGAATATTTGTGTCCTCCTAAAATTATACATTGAAATTCTAACCTGCAGTGTATTTGGAGATGGAGACTTTGGGAGGTAATTAGGTCATGAGGGTATAGCACTAATGAGCAAGATTAGTGCTATTATAAAAAGAACCACTGATAACTCTCTTGCCTTCTTTCTTTTGTGTAAGGGTACAATGAGGAGTCACCAGTCTGCAACCTGGAAGAGGCCCTTCACTATGCTGACGCCCTAATCTCATATTTCCAGCTTCTAGAACTGTAAGAAATAAATTTTTGTTTATAACCTATCCAGTCTATGCAGCCTGAACTAAGACTCCTGGCAGTGGATAGCTGCTGTGTCTCTGGCTGCAAGAAGAGCTGTTGCTAAAGCCAGCTCCTAAGCCCTTGATTCATTTCAGCTGGGAGTTTGGAAGTCAGGAGTCAGTTGTCCACAGGAACACTTCTGCAAATCTGTAATCCCGGTGTAGGAATCCATGTTTCACCTTCTTTGTTCCAGAAATGCAGACAACTCCATACAGGTACTCATTTTTAGACTTTATATTGTGAGAGAAAAGCAACTGCTATAATCGGGGGGCATGGAGCAGAGTGGACAGAGTGTAGGCTTTGGAGACAGAGCTAGGTTTACTTTTCCCGGTTCCCTTTGACCTTGAACTTTTCTGAGTTTCATTATTAGTAAAGTAGAGGTAACAAATGCCTATCTGATTTAAGAAAACAATAAATTGAAGCTGTATTTCTAAATCATAACAATATCTTCTAAGCCCAAATACTGTTTTTCAAACATCCCAAAGAGATAGATGGCAGCTTGCTTCCTTTATTATTGGTTGGCTTCATCAACTATGACATTTACCCCCAGTACAACCATTTTTCATTGAGACAAATGCCTTTTCTCCTCAGAGGATCTTCCTCTTCCTGGCAGAGTCCAGAGGATCCCCATGAACCTCTTTCCGCTCCCGCCCCTCGGGATCTAGGATCATACTAGCCCTGTCTCATTGCTCTCATTACTCAGCCCAGGGAGGACTGGTAAGAAGTCCCTCTGTGGCTTGTTGACATCAACTCTGAGGATGTGCAAGATGGATTAAGAAAAGGCATCTGATAGCTTTTACTTTTCAGGAAGCCAAATGTTTTTCAAATCAGAAGCAAAAGGATTTAGCACAGGGAGGCTAGAACTGCATTTCTGTCAAGGGGGAGACAGCTAAACTCCCTTTCCCCTGAAGCCCTTCTGTATTTCCCACTGGGCTGTACCTCCCTGTCATGCTTTAAGCTTTCCCTTCCTGGTCTTCCTCCTCAAAGCCTCTCAGCTGAGCCCTGCTTTGCTCTCGCTCCAATGTGTGAGACTGAACCTGAAGACAGGGAGGATGGAGAGGTCCTGTTCTGGGAGAAATAAGATGGGTCGTATTATGTTGTGTAGGAGGGCTTTGCCCCGCAGCTTCTGGGTGCATCCTCTGCTTATTCACTTAATCTAGTTTCTGCAGCAAGAGTTACAAAACAGAAGAGCAACTAGCTTTTCTACCATTCTTTGGCCCTGAAAATATCCAGTGTGGGGCATGGCATCCTGGCTAAAGGCAACGTGGTCCAAATCCTGAGTGGTGTAGTGCTTCATTTCCTCCTTGTCTAGGGAAAGTGGCTCCAAATACTGACTACTTCTTGTCCTCCCCAATGGCTTGCCCCTTGCCTGGCTGTTTCTAGGGGTGTGAGGAGAGCTCAGAGGGAGAGAAATCTCAGTTGCATAGTTGTATTTCTCTTGCTGACAGAGAATTCTCAAGCTTTTGGAGCCAAGAATTAAGACTGGAAGTGTTCCTGGTCTTTCCAGTGAGGCTAAACCATTGTCTTGAAGTATATTAAATCTTAAAAGTGCAGCTCGATCTGGGCTGTCTGTAATCTGCAATGATCTCTAGAGAACCCTGCAGATCTCTTTTGTTAGGAGTCCATGATTCTACAATACACATCATTTGCTGGAGGGGGGAAACTGGGGCCTTATGCCAGGAGGCATGCCATAGAACCAGATGACCAGAAGGTGGCACTAGTAGTATTTATAAGAAGCCACTGCAGAAGTTTTGGTCAATGAGACAGCACTTGCTTCTTTCCAACTCTCTAAAGTGAAACAACTGTGTTTTGTTAACACCATGTTACACAGAGCTTTTTTTGTGGATGTCTGCTTTCACCCAAACCATCACAGCCTACTTTCTTGCGGGTTAGGAGTGTTACTTACAATGAATTCAAAGGCCGGAAGGTTTTGTTTGTTGAAGTTTGCTCCATGCATTTAAGATGCTTTCTATTCTTTGAAGCGTTGACAAAAACAGTCCTGAATTCTCTGGGAAATAAGAGACCCCGTTTGTGTAGCAACTATTCTCCCTGCTCCCTTCACCCACTTTGGGACTGTTCCAGAGGTCTAGATGCAAGGTTGATATTGTCTGTCCTGTCAAGCTTTTAGCTTGTCAAGGCTTTTAATATTCTTTGTATGAGTTTAATGTAAAAAGACATCCAGTTATTGCTGCCTTTTACATGACTAATAGACTGCTTCATAAATAAGTAACTCTGTCTATGTGGTTTTAAGAGTAAAAGGAACTTGAAAGCCACTAAGAAACTTGGGAGAAACTCAGCAAGAAGCCTCCCTGTCTGCGCCAGTTTGTTTAGCAGAGGAAGATTTTTTTCCAGAGGAAGCAGTTGGCAACAGTCCCATTAATGGCAACATAGAAACCTACATCTTACCCACTTGCTGGTAGCTTTCTAGAACAAGGAGCTACCAGTCATGGGATGAGGAACTATGGCAGATGTGGCAAACGTTTCTGTGAAGACCCAAATGTTAAATATTTTTAGGCTCTGTAGGCCATAAGGTCTCAGTTGCAGCTACTCAACTCTCCCACTTTAGCTCAGAAGCAGCCATGGATGATATGCAGATGAATGGGGATAGCTTTGTTCCAATAAAACTTTCTTCACAAAAATAGGCAGCAGGCTGGATTTGACTCATGGGCCATAGTTTGCAGAACCCTGAACTAGAAAAAGGGAGATTTTTTTTTCCTTCTCCAACATGAACATTTTCTTTTTGATCCTCTTGTTTTGCTAGAATGGTAGCTGAGGGTTGTCAACGTGTGTTTGGCCTTGTCCTAGCAGATTTCCCTCTATTATAGGAACACAAGGAGCAGAGCAGGTTCTGTTTCTGCTATGGCCATTGCAACTAGGAGAAATCACTGACAGAAGTAGAGGATGGCAGCTGGGTGTCTTATCTCCCTCTTAGTTCTTAAAGGTAAGGGTTTGTATTGGATCAAATGGATTCAGCATAATCTTCTGGTGGTGTTGCATTTGGGTAACACTGGTCTTCTAAATTAGGAGTTAGCATAGGACGTGGGCCAAATCTGACCTTCTACCTATTTTGATAAATAAAGTTTTATTGAAACACAGTCATGCCCATTTCCTTACATATGGTCTTTTTCCATTTTACAATTATGAAGTTGGGTGGTTGTGACAGAGGCCTTATGACTTACAGAGCTTAAGGTATTTAGTATTTGTCCCTTTATAGAAAAAAATTTGTGGACTCATGCTCTAGAGTAGTGCTTTTCAGACACTGTGAAGGGCTACTTTCCCTCTTTCATTTCTTTTAAAAAAATCCATCATAACTATGTGTAGTTCTGTTGTCCATGACTGATAGCAACTTTTGTCACATCCAACTCACCACATCAGGCCTGGAACCCACCCCGCCTCGCCGGTCCATTCCTATCAAGGGAGATGAGTCTTTACTGTATGTGCTTTGGATATGACCACAAGGTCAAATCACTGTAAATGTTTTAATTGCTTACACTCAAATTCTGTACTTATCTAGTAATGGACTAGGAACAGTTTGCAGATCAGCAGCGTGGTTCTAGGGCACTGCTACTCAAAGTGTGGTCTTTGAATCATCAGTATTACTTAACTATCTTGTTAAAATGCAATTTCTGATTTATTTCAAAAGTCTCAGGTGGGGCTTGCCATTCAGAATTTCTAATACATTTCCAGATGAGGTTGATGCCACCAGTCCTTAGACCATACTCTGAGTGCCATTGCTTTAGAGGTATTTCTAAAGGGGCCAAATCTAACATCAGATATTGCCTATACTCACAGAATGGTGCTGGCTACATTATTCCCATTTTACTGATCAGGGCTATCTTATATAGAAAAGTGAAGCAATTTGCAATGGGCAACCAAGAATGAAACACAGATGTCATTAACTAAGAGATGCCTAAGAAATATAGATGCTCTTACCCTACCCTATAAATAATATTTTAATCTGGTAGTCAGTTTTCCTAGTGCTGACACCAGCTCTGCTTGCTACATTGCTGGAAACAAATCTGTAGTGATTTTGATTATAGCCTGTTAAACAAATATGGAACATAAAGAGAAATGCACATTGCTCTTAACCCCAAGCCCCTTCTCAACCCCTACCTTTTTTGTTTCCTTCCTCTTCTCATGTTATTGTGTGTTGTTTGGAGAGTTTCCAGATCTTCACTTGGACATGCAAGCCATTGGGAATGAATATGTCAAGTAGGAAATGAAATCTTTTTTATGTTTTTGTAATGGTAACACATGAAAAATGTACTTAAATAAAGAAATTGGACTAATGCATTTCTTTGTCATTTGGGGGCACTATTGTAGCCACATATCCAGGATCGGGATTTCCATGTGGAGATTTCTGTCACTAAAACTGAATTCTGCCTGTTTCCTGTCCTCCCTTAGCTGCTGTTTATCAGCTGCTGCTTATCACTTTAAATGTTCTGGGATACTGAAAAGAACAAAAAAGAGGCTAATAAGGGAACTTAACTTCCTGGGTTGCTTACAATGATGTTTATTTAGGAGACAAATCTCTTTTTAAAAGATTCACCCCATGTAGGACATTAAATATGCTGATGATGTTTCCTCATCAATTCTACAACAATATTGCTTTCTTCTTGTATCTATACTGTTGTTCTGTTCATAAATCAGTTTCCATTGGAATTAATTTGTAATGTATCAAAATGAAGTTATAGCAATGTTCTCTTCTCAGATAAAGTTCCAGCCTGGGGCAAAGCCTTATGTATCAGCTTCTTTGTAAGGACCTACCTCCTTCTCCTTATGATACATTCACCCTTTCATGTTTCTTTTTATTAAATTGCCTTCCTGAGATAATGTCAAAACCACAACAACTTTTCACTGGTAGTTTGACCAATGTTAAAGTAATGTCACAACGGTATTTGAAATGAGGAATCTGTTTTCACAAAGCACAGCTGCGTTGTTTGTGATGTTTTGTGTTTTGAATAAGTTTGTCTTTGTCATTTGAACTCCCAGAAAATTTGAATTCTCTGTTGGAAAATTTAGAAAACTATCAATATGAAATAGATTTCCATAGGCTTAAACTAACCAACAAGAAAGGACCCACAGTTCAACCCTTCAGCTTTTCTTTTTTCCTAGCAAGGAAGGTGAAAGCCCATCCCTGTGTCTTCTCTTGTCATCAGCTGTGGGACCATTCACACAGGCTTCCTACATATACTTCAACCTCTCCCTCTCCCTC